GAGGACTTTCCTGGTATCACAGAGGCACCTAAAACCTGGAAATATTATAGACTGTAAGGCACACAACACATCCTCAGTGTTTGCTTTTACTAAGCACAGGTAACTCTCTGCCTGCTGTACTGCTGCACTTTAAATTCACCCCCCAGGAATTTGTTTGCATACCCTTTGTGTGCAGAAAGTGTAACATACCCAATTCTATCACTGTTCTACAGAAGGTGACAGATTTGGCAGTTGAAGTGGCAGAAGTTGGTATTCTTTAGCTATTTCCATTAACACCTCTGGAAGCTGCCATAGGCATAGAAGTAAGCTTTGGCTGAACTGAATTGTATCCTTAAAGCAATTTTTATGTGAAGAAAAATGTCAGATGATTGTAAAATTGTGCATGAATCACCTTAAGAATTTGAGAATTGATCTTGCTTTCTTTAAGCCTTGTGTAACTCAGACTATTTCTCATTCATTCTAGTTAAGGAATTATTCCCATGAAGCCTGGTAGGTTATGTGCTTGATACAGGTTTGTTCTCAGAACCATCTTTTTTTTAGATACCCTGCCACTCTGTTGAAGGCTTGATTTGCCTGTGTTGTGGAAGCCTCGTTGCATTTTCATAGTGTGATTGAAACTCATTGCAAGAACATGACTTTTTATTTATTTACACTGTTGTAAATTAGGACCCTCTTCAAAAAAAAAAAAAAAAAAAAAAAAATCATCTGCTTTTCACATATATTGCTTTCTGTAGGCAAATCATCAATGTTTTAACTGGAATAAAGCTGAATACAAATTTGAACTCTACTACAGAGTTCTTAGTGATATGGCATTTATAAGATCTTCCAGGCTTATTTTTTAAAAATAGCTATTTCCTTATATTGTATACATGAGGAAGTATGTATTCAGCTCCAGCTGGGGAATATTGTCACTACCCCCCAGTCAAGACTGAAAGCCAAATACTACAGTTGAAAATTGGCTTGCACTACTCTAGTTCAGAAACATTTCTTCTAATTATACATTGAGCAGCAGAATACATTTTAAAGACAATAAATACTTATTGTGACCTCTTGTTTGTGCCATTTAAGAAAATGCTGGTATTGTCTGAGAACTGTACCATTATTTAATCAATTAACAGTTTTATTTGCTGGGAAAAAAGAAGAAAAAAGTGGCTATCTTTGCTTGCATGCTGGCTGACTTGTCTGTCTGTACATCTTCAGTTCTCTACCTACCTCGTCACTAAAATGCTGGCTGATGTCTTCTGCACCATTCAGCACAGAAACTTTCACTTGCTTCCCAGTTTGTGCTATGCAGCATGAAAAATTAAAATATGAATGCAATGTTGGTTTTCAGGTAGATTATTAATATATATGATAGTGCTGCTCTAACTTTCTTTTCCTTCTTTTCTTAGTGCTGAAATCAGAAAAGAGAAGAAAGCTGACTCAGGGAAAGGCGTTGACCGGGAGACTTGTCTTTGACTTGTTCTTCAATTATTTTTTTTACAAACGAATGAAAGGAGTGCCACAACCACTAAATATACATGATTTGACCTTGTAACTTTGTCTTTCATCTCAAACTAGCACAGGTAATGTAGTGCAATATATGTCTCATTTCACCTTGTCTACATGTCTACATTGTCTAGTATCTGTGTAAATGTCTGCAGTAGCCAATGCAAAAAAATCTTTGTTCGTTGCTGATATTGGCCATTTATCGGTATCCAAATCATAAATTTAACAAGCAAAGTTTCTTTCAAATTCAACTTTCCTGTTAATAGGTTTGTACTGTATTTTGCTACTTTTTCTGTGTGAGAATACTTAATAATCGACATTCAAGATGAACTTGAAAACACTCGTTCCAATTTTTTTTTGTTTTTTTTTTTAAATCACCTAACTTGAGTAAATGATTTCAGGAGACCCAAACTGACAAGCAAACATTAAAGAAGTTTTTAAAGTAACAACTGACATGACCCTGTGAACAAACTAACAAGGATAATCCTTTCCTCCTCAAGCTGCCCTTTTGAAGTCATGGATTACTCTTGCAATGAGGATTGCAGGGTCAGATTCTGTATTTGTGAAGTTTTCCTTGATTTAATACAGTGTATTTAATATTCAAATTTGTATGTAACTGGAACATAGTCTCATATATATATATATATATATATATATATAAAAATATATAAAAATATATATTAAACCATTCTCTCACCTTAGTTGAAAAAACACCACATCCTTTGATGTGAAACACATACTTCTTAAAATGCAATCTGTGATTACAGTATCTTACCTTGTATTGTATAAATGGTGCCGTGGTAGGCCAAACAACTGCGTTACGTCATTAATCAACCCATTATTTTATAATAGGGAAAATTTTGTAGATAGAAAGTATACCCCATATGCAGTTATATCACCTGCCCAATGATTTTTCTCTTTATTGCCTAAAATACAGCCACATAAAGGGCATATTTATATTGTCCTCTCTCTACTAGTAACTGTAAACCTCTTAATTTCAGAGAGTGTTTATAATACTTAAATGGGTATCCTGCTGTTGGTTTTGTTACAGCTCTTCACTATTCCATCAAGTACATATTGATTAAAAGGTAAAAACAGCATTGCGCACAGTAAAATGTGGCTTTAAAGCCATTGCAAAGACACTTTTCGTAATGGATTTTGTTACTGCCTGATCCTTCAAGCTGTTCTTTTGTGCAGAACAAGGACTGTGAGATTAGATATTGAATTAATAGAGGCATGGAGCAAAAGTTTGACTGCGTTATTTGGAATTCACAGATTTTTAAATTTTTTTAAGGTAAATTTTTAAATTATTGAAAGAAAGCTAACTCTCATTATTATGCTATTATTTTGAATCCTACAAATAAGAATTAGTCTTGTCATCTTTATAACAACGCATCTACAGGACTCTTAACATTCCCCAGCTTTCCAAAAGATCATAATTTTTCCATAGACCTCATGTGAACAACTTTTCAAATCCAGCACATTTAAAGTATTCCTTCCAATGTTTTCATGTGTGTGTGAGTGTGTATGTTTTACTACTTTAGCCATAAATGATAATTGCATTTTGCTGCAAACTAATAAGGTCACTGTTCTAAATTTGACTTAGCATTATTAAAGCCCATTAAAGGCAATTTTTATGGAGAAAAAAAAATCTAATGGACACAAAGGATTTACATTTAATTCAGTGTTTGTATTTGTAAATTTAGGAAAAAAAAATGCTGATGCATTAACGTTAAATGCTTTGTTTTGTGTACTTGATAAATTTTAAGATTCCAATTGTTTTAAGGTTAGTATAGAAGTTCAGTACTGGTTTGTCCCGAAAGCTGCCTGGTGGTGTTTTAATATGTTGCTGACTTTGTTACAGATAATGTATACAATCAAAATGTATTAGTTTCACTTGACCAACTCTTAGAATATTAAGAAATCAGTGTAATCAATGGCATTCTGTATTTCTGTTCAGTATTTCAGAGTGGTTTTATTTTAAAAGAGTCACTCTGTTCTTGTGCGAATTTAAATGCTATTCCAATGTTAATCTTAACATTCTGTAATCACATACAATATAAAGCAAATGTAGTGCTATATTACTTCTAATTTCATATTCCTGGTCAAAATTACGCAATTTCTTGGATGTAATTTATTACAAAAGTTTATGTGTACATGTGAATAGACTATTGTGTTTTTCACGATTAAGAAATGTTATGTGAAAATAAATATTTATCCTAACTAATTTTCAATTTTATTTTTACCCCGCAAAACCCAGAACAAGTATGCAATAGGGTACAGTGTTTTAAATGTCTACCTGACACTTGACTATGCTTCACAAATTAATGAATTGTAGAGCTCAGTACTGCTCCATTTTCAAGTGCAATCTTATTGAAACATGCAGTGTTATCAAGTGTTGGCTTGCCATGTGTGGTTGATGGTGGTGTACTTCGTCTGACAAACAGTAAGTGCACCATGGGGGATGGCATATAACTGACCTGTTCTGGGAAGAGAATAGGAATTACATTCTGAGGTACTGGTCAGGAGTTGGTTCCCCTTCCTTCTGGGAGAGATGACACAGACTAGGCAATAGTTGGGTCTTTTTACAGATCAATAAGTAAGGAATTCCTCAGTGCTACAGTATTTAAAGTGACTAATAGTTGAAGAGCAGCTTAGCCTGCTGCCTATTGTGGGAGCTTCTGCTATTCTCAGGACCCTAAATTTCTGCTACTGAAAAATTTTTAGGCTTATAACCTAGTACTACTGCCAAAACCCAGTACCTGAAGTACTGACTCTATCTTATTAAATCCCTGTGAGCTTCTTCACCAGTTTTTAAACCAAAGACTGGAAGCCTCCTAGCCTGAGAATGGTAACAGTCACACCTCAGGCTTCAGCAGCTTCTGTCAGGATTTTACACAGTGTCTTGTACAACAAACTTTTCACATGGAAAAAAATACAGAGGAAAAGAAGATAGTTGATAGGTGCCTAACTCACTCTAGCATGTGGCACTACTTCAGACATAACTGGGTCCCAGTGCTAGCTTCATACATTAATGAAAGGAGCTGGCTTGCTTCTGGGGCCTCAGTTTTAGGTATTTACCTGTGTTCATGCATTTCAAGTACACTGTCAGGTCCCTGAAGCATCTCTATCTGCATTATTTTTGGAGCTGAGGGAGAGCTACCAGAGAGAAAATTAGACACTAAACTGATGTTTATTATTAGGACACTTACTATAGCAATAAACTTTTTTATCTACTAGCAGGATATCTTAGAAGTTGCTTTCCATAAAAAGATATAAGATAACTAGTACTGTACTGCCTCACAGATTAGACTGAGAGTACAGAAGTTTCCCAGTGAGATGCTAGCATCAGTAAGGTAGGTCAGATACAACAAACTGCATTTTAAATGAAAGACTTAGGACAAAATAATTGGATTTTTTTTTAATGCTTCTCTGATTACACTAAGGGGATTCTTGCAGTTCTTAATGAGAGCCTAGTTAATGTAGTTTTTGGATTAACAGTTTTGTAACTGTTTTCCCCTTGCATACACAAGCCATCTAGAAGTTCATAATGATCATTTTTTATAGCGTATCTGCATTACTGTTATCTACTGATTTCTGTTTCTTTCCCTTAAGTCAAAAAAGTCAGAGACATGAATACTATAACCTCTTCAAGTCTACTGACAGCCTGTATCCTACAGGACTTTAACACTGGTGACTGTCTACATTAGAGCCACTAATACACTGAGCCCAAGATTATATTTGTAATACCCATCTCCAGTTTGTTTCCCAAAAACCCTTATTTTGTAAGTCAAGGAAGTTTTGTTTTGTTTATGAGCCCAAAACCTTATTTTCTAGCTCAGGCCCTCTTCTCTTTCTCATTTAAGGACAAGCTGCACAAACTGTCTTGACATTCTCCCCCATGCTTTGTCTGTACAAGTACATTCACACCTGATGTCACCAATAACCCAAAATACATACATAATCACATGCTGGTGTCTAATACAAAGAAGCTAAGTAAGATAATCATGTGACACTCCATTACATGATACCATTAAACAAAAGCAGAAACTTCACTGTGTCTGTCAAAATCAATGGATTTTTGTAAAATTCTAGGAGTTCATTTCTTGAGCAACGTTTTCAGTGATACAACTACACCTCCTTTTATAACTTAATGTCTTTATTATTTTAAAGCAGCACAGTTTGTAGTACAAGTGGGTTGCATCTTTTCTATCTATGTGAAATTAAGAAAACTAATGTAATCTTCAGATGGAGAAGCCTACCTGGAGTGCTGAAAATAAATCAGAAGTTTACTGGTAGCCTGCAACAAAAAGCAGGTTGACTAAATAGCATGTTCACATGAGAGTTACAGTCTAGCCCTTGCTTTAAGTGCCTGCTAGTTTGCATTATAAAGTTTTATGTTTGAGTGCAAGGAATATATCCTATTCATCAGTAAATAGGAAACTCTAAGGAAAAAGATTTTCTGTCCCATAGAGAAACATCTTAGAACTCTAGCAGCCCACCATTAAGATTCTACCAGTGCAGATTCCCACAGTAGCAGCCTTTTTGACTATAAAGTAAGCAAAACCCACAGTGCTATGAAACAAAGAAATTCAGTGCCGTTGGTTTGAATAGGTATAATTAAAAATCTTTGGTGAAAGCTGGTTACATACTTCCCTTGCGAGACTTTCACAACTGTAATCCAAGAGATTGCAGAGAAAATACTAACTCAACTACAGTAAAGTGGTTGATTCTGCACAGAAAATATTATTATTCCTGATACTGTTTCTAAAATAATAATTGATAAAGCATTAAGTAATTTCTGGAAAATTTCTTCAAAGTTTTATCAGTATTTTCACAGAAATTTTTATTAAACTGATCTCCACATTAGTTCCTTTGTGACATTTTCATCATTCATTACCTAATATAGAAACTGGACTATTTGTCTTTTAGACTGAAATATCAACAGGTACTGATTCAAGTAAGTATCATGCTTTCTACAAGTCTGCAACATACCCACATTCTGGTGATGTTAAAACCTGATTAAACACAATCAATAAAAATACAATAGTTGCTTGGCAACAGAAGTCATTATAAAGATCAGCATTTCATTATGTATACAGGTATCCCAAGAGCTGACCCTTATCTCATTTTGATTCTTAAAAGTTCATATACTGGCTCTGTACATTAGCTAGACTTTTCTGGAGAAGAACCATCAGAAACAACCAAAATGCTGGTGCTAGGACAGTGAGAAACACTGCTTTATGAAATGGCTCATATGGGTATAAATATGCTTATGTGCTTGACCCGTGATGGCATGGTCTTTATCAGTATACCACTGTGGGAAAGAAAAATACAGAGAATGTTAGTTCTAGCTACATGCAAATGACATAAATCAAACATGACAGACATAAAAACACATGCAGCCATTTAAAATTTCCCAGCATGAGACTATTTCTGCATGGAGGCAAAGACATGACAGTGGGAGGAAGCTCAATGATACTTTTGTCCCTGCTTTGTGTGTGGGATATACCATCTATTCACGCTAAAAGTACAAAATGAATTCATGGCTTATCCGCACATGGAGTGTAGATGCAGCTCCTCAGTTCAGAGTGGCACCTGATCTCTGTCCTTGTTAGCCCAGCAAGTCTGGCTGAAGGACAACCATGCACTGGTGCACCTGGCTTTCTTCTGTACTTCAACCTTTTCAGCACGGCTCCCCAAGAGCTGGGAGAAGGCAGGAAAGGAAGAGCTTGCACCTTAGTCTGAGAGTTTCCATGTACAGCATAAGAAGGGGCAAGTAACTACTTGGCTTAAAAGTTCAATAGAGAAACACCAAATGTAATGGACAGGTTATCTTGCACTTAGATGAATTTAACCTTTCCTTATATTCTATCTCTAAGATACCAGTCAGTGGACTTTGGGTATATTCAGAGATTGGGATTGGCTTGGACATTAAATAACACAAAAAATTCACCAAAATTAAAGGTTAGGTAAACAGAGTGAAATATGAAAAGGAGTTATTTTACATCTTTTCTTGTACAAAAGCTACATGGGTGTGTTATGTTAAAATTTCAGTTACTGAATGTGAAATGCAATTACGTGAGCTTTAAGATAGCAATTGATTTACACCTAACAGGAGGGAGCTTTTACTGCTGTTATTCTCATAATACAGACTCATTTGTATGATGATAAACAAAACAGAACCATACCATTGCCTGAAAATCCACTTCAGCATCAACAAGAGCTTTGGAAATCTGCGCTGCTTGCTGAAAGTGAACATTATCTGAAAAGTGGAAGAAAATGAGGAAATGGGTAAACAAAAAATTACTTCTGTACTAGTCTGGGGGAAAAGCAAAGCAACGAACACAGTAGACTCCCCAGCACTGCTGACTGAAACACAAATTAGTTGCAGAAAGCAGTATTATTTTATTGACGTAAATGTAACAGCCTTGCCCCTTCATGCTTTTGTTTTGTCAGTAGTAGAATTGCGAACCTGTCTGTAATACTAAAATGTCTAATTAACTGCAACTCACCATCTGCTGTTCCATGAATAAGGAGATATTCAACTTCCTTGAATTTTTCAGCTCTGGCCATTACTGTTGAACTCTGAAATTAAAGAAAAGGAAAAAAAAAAGAAAAAAGGTGCTATTTATTAGAAGATGATTTGCTACCAACTGACTTTGATTCCTGCTGACAGTCTGGGGTCCTTCGGATAAAAACAACCACCCCGGCTCCCCACCCCCCAAGTAGCATGTTCACATATCCGACAGCGCCGTGCTCGCACTCAAACCATTCTGCACCGGTCTGCAATTATTACCAAGGGTTATGTCTGCAAAGTAACAGGCAATTCCAGAGGGGAAGAGTTTTGTGAGTGAGATACACATTTAATGCATTGCTAACATGTTGTTAGCCTGCAGCACACCACTTGCCATAGGTTTCCTGTGTGACTGCAGACAAGTTAAAAAATGTTGCCATGGCAACAGTGCACCCTATGATAGCAAGGAGTAGCTATTGCAGAGACTACATGCGTTATCTTCCCCACCAAAATGTGTACTAGTTGACCTGTAGGTAAGTCAACAGAGCCAGTATCTCATCAGTCTCAAGTAGAAAGGGCTGACAAGAAGTTTAAAACAATGCTCTCCCTGAAATATGACAGAGAAATGCCTGAAGTGAAAGAAACACTTGACCACATCTATAAATAGAAGTCGAGCTACATTTTGGGAATTGAAATACAATACAGGGATTAAAACAAAAAAACCAAACCAACAACAACTAAGATTAATCAAGTAACTTAAAACAGTAACAACATACTCCCTAGAACATACTAACCACCTGACTTGCTAGTGTGACTAGGTACTAAAGAATGAGGAAAGTGAGGACTGCAGGTGAGATCTTTAATTTGGGCAAGGAAAGGGTAGAGGAAAGTGCTCTGACACAAGAGTGGGAAGAATAAAAGGGAGAAGAGCAAGATGTTTTAGGCATAATGGGGCAAAAATACACTGAATTAAATTTCCTTCTATAAACACCATTATAGAGGTTCTCTGCTGAAAATTGTTAAATCTATATTGCAGCAACTTAAAAGCTACTGTGGCAAGGAAAAAAATAGTAAAAATTAGTAACAAAAGAATGTGGTGATTTTTTTTCTTCCCTACCTTGTACTAAGGCTGTATTCTTCCACAGACAGTTGCATTTAGTACCCCAAAAAGTCAAATAATTATTAGCAAGACACAGAAGTGTTCTAGTTTCTTTATGTCTCTTGTACACTCATGAATCTTTAAAGCAAGCGTAAATATTAAACTCCTTTTGTCATGGCAGAATAGCATACGACAACCCTCTAAGTGAAAGGAGTTCTTTGTAGTTATTCAAATTTAAAAACCCAAGTTCAGCAGAGAAAAAAAAAACCCACCCTCCAGTCTATAACAATGCAATTGCCCCCTTTTGACAGCAAAAGGCTGCAGATCGCCAGAAATCCTGTCTAATCGATGGAAATCCATGCACACTGCAAGCATGACACTATCCACTGAAACGAGTTGGTATCATGGAGTAAGAACAGATAGTTACAAGAGTGCCAAAATCTGAAGAGAGGACTTTGATTCAGTAAGGAGCACTGGTACAGCAGCCAACCAAAAGAACAATTCAGAAAGTAATGGCCCAGTGATATGAAAAAAAAAAAAGAACCAAGCAGTATGGTAAATTATTTTCTGTATGTGCAGAGGGAAACTGGACAGATCATCTTTGTAAACTTTCTTCCAGCAAATCAGTGCTGGTTTAAGGGACAGGAAATCTGTGAGTGGAAGCCTGACTTGAGCTACACTTCTGAGAACTCTACTTTCCAAAAGCAGTTTCAGAAAAAGGATGTTGCTATTTTCCCCATCCAAGCATTAAACAAAATAAAGCTATCTGCAAAATACTTCAGAAAGAAGGAACACAGAAAATATATACTTCCTCAGGTTTTTTTTATCACTTGCAAGTGATGTCTCACTTGCTGTACCCATACTCAACATGAGGAGTCCCTTCCCTAAAACGTGCTTTAAGGACACACAGTACTTCTGCCAAAAAAGAAGGTTGCAAGATAGGGAGCAATCTCAAATTAGGCACAGTTATAGCACAAAGCAACAGCTACATCAGCCGAACAAAACTCAAGTGGACAGCAAATAAATATGACTTAATTTACCCCTTCTGTTTCATAGTTATACTGCCGGGACAAAGATTCTGAAAAGGTAATATGTACAAGTACTGAAAATTAGGCCCTGCTGAGTGTAACTGGCTTTTCTAAAGATCACACAGCAGTCAACATTTTATCAGCACTCCACAAACAAGTTAAGGTTTGGCTGAAACTGAAGGTCTCTCTCCCTTTAGCATATTCTCAGATAATAGAACAAATGTCAAATCAGTACAAGATGGCATATTTACAAAATTGTACCCTGTTTTGCATAACCTAATGATGCAGCAGTTCTTAAGGACTGAACATTTCAAATCTGCTAGAAAAAGATTGCCAAATCTATGACTGTTTCAAACACTTGCCAAAAGCATATCAAATTCAGAGTGAACTGCAAAATAATCTTCTCACAAGTTGAACAGTCTCTTCGGTATGCTTTACATGGCTACTGCATCTGACCCCTAGAGCTCTGCCCTGATTTAGTCTTAAATCTTCTATATCAGGGACATTTCTTCCCCGGGCAGAGGGCTTCTCTGCCATTCAGCCTAGGATCCCTACACAATTATATTGGGAACTCCACCCATGCTTGCTGCTTTCTTTTACAAAGCTCTAATTTTTAGTAGTTCACAACTACCTTAAAAGGCACTGATTGCACCTAATTAGCCTACTTAGAGGAGTGAGTCATCCCTCAGACTTGACAAGTATTGAGCATCTCAGATTATCTTCAATAAATGTGAAAGCTAACATCACAGTAATAGAAAGGTAGGGTGTATCCTTCTTACCACATCTAGTTTCTTGAGACTATATATTCAGAGCCATTAATAGTCTGTGCATTAGGAAGGTGCCTTGCTGCATGCACCTTCTCTAAGCAGATGTGTAGAGTGTCATTTCTTTTAAATTAGAACACAGTATAGAGTTTATGGAACCTTTCACTTTTCAAGCCAGCTTTATAGTGGATGCAGTAGAGAATATATGATGCAGCACACAAACCTGACAGTACAAAGTTAACAGTTCAAAAATGCTTTAACAGCTTCAGCCATGAGAGCTTTCAGTACATGTTTTGCATTTACTTGCTAAAAACCATTCAGTTCAGAAAACAGCTCTCATCAGCAACAAGGGGCCAGGAGGCTGGCTACTGGGACTAGGACACTGAACAAAGGGGCTGTAAGCCAAGGAACATGCTGGGCTGAAGTCAGTAAGGGTCTTCAGCAACAACGAAATCCTACAACCCTTCCATTGATGCTGCATGAAAAGCAACAAACTCACTTCTCAAGCTACCCCATGCCTCCAGGTTTATGTGGAAAAGTAAATACCAAGTAACACATTATTTGGGGCTTATAACGAATGAGGACTTAAGCTGCATTTTCCTATCTCTAAAAGCAGCAGTGAAGTGTGACAATCTGATCTGTGCAATTACCCCTCCTCCATCTAGCCACCGTTCTCCCCAATTAGTCCTCTGAGTAACACATTTGAAACCTTTAGCTCTTTGGTACTGGCAGTTTCAACGTGGCCATTGCCAGCAATGGATACTATGCCAAGAAAATCCGACTCCTGGCTTGAAAGGATTAAACAGTCCTCTGTTGCCATCTGTGCCGTGAAGCTGGTGAATGACTTTGTGCACCCAGAGCGTTAACGTTCGTTCTGCACGACGACAGTAACTTCTATTTACACTGCTACCTCGCAGACCTCCTACTGTTCCTACTGTGTTAAAAGAAATGCATTTGGAAAAAGGCAGGCAGGCGGCTTCAGGCTGCTGGTCAGTCCCTGGTGGGCCCAAGCAGCTAGCTGGTTAGAAGAGGCAGACGCAGTACCAAGTCTTCCAGCAATCACTACCATTGTCCTCAATTTTGACCAGAATGTCTGACAGAGCAGTAGACAAAACTAGGTAGTGATACATCAAAACAGATGCTTCAGTCCATGTATGTATGTATTTATATGATTAACCATACTTTTAAATCAGTGCAACAACTCCCAGTCCTTTTTTCCCCCCATTACACTTATTTTTTTAATGCATCATGATACAATCAGCGATAAACCGTCTTCTAGCCTGTTTACGAACCCAAACAGAGAATGGCCCATCTCTTTTCCTCTAACACCCATGTTTGGTTCCAGCAACGCCATGGCTAAACAAGATCCCAACAACCAGGGCACAAAGATCCCTCACAGTTCTCCAACAGCCCCTGATTTCCACCTAGATCTGAAATTTAACAAAACCTTACAAAAGGCTTGGGCTCTGCCCTATGCCCAGAGACCTGTGACTTCAAAAACCCTTGAGACAACAAAAGGCAGCTGGTACACGGAACGGCAAGTCAAACAATTCATCATTCCATAACAAGGACAATCAATCTACAGGTATTTTGCTCCCATTAGAACACCTGGAAATTCCCTCACTTCTGGGCAAACATCAGTCATTTTAAACCAAACCTTGGACATCCTGTGTTTGTGCAGATGGGGTCAAAATACCAGCCCTGACACTGCTGGCTCTTGGTTTGTAATTGCTTGGATATGATCACAGTACAGACAGACTTGACTACCTGTCAAAATTTCCTAATATTTAGGGGATTTTGCTTTCCCTGAAAAAAGCTTGCAGATTCCTAAAACATGAAAGTTTATACAATACCCATTTAAAAAAAATTACATTTCAGAAAGAACTGTAGTACATTTGTTTTGGTGGAAATGTTTAAGATAAGGCACAGTTTGCCCACGAGCATATTAAATTTTAAAACAAATTTGTTTCTTGGTGATTAAAATAAAACAGTTTTTACAGCTTGTTTTACAGTCTGCAAAGTAGCCAAATGGAACTGAATGTAAAAAAAAAACCAAAAAAAAGCCAACACACCAAACAAACAACAGAAAACACGCACCATACAGCAAGGAGTAACTGCCTCATGCAAATCCAAACGCATGAGACTACAGCCTCTAAAAGCACAATGCGACAGATATAGCTGGAAAAAAGAAACAAACTTATTTCTTCCCATAGGGAAGGAACTAGACTGTATAAAGAAAACAGAGTGGTTTAGAAAAGAAACAACATACTTCAAGTAATGAAATAAAGTGATTTCTTTCTTACATTATAGTTGTTCAGATTATCACTTGCTATAGGAAGGCCCATGTATCGCTCTGTGTATATTGAATCTGTAATTTAAAAAAAAAAAACAAAACCAGAATCTGCTATTTAAGTCTGTCTGTCTACCAGTAATTTTACTCACTGATACAAACAATATGAATGCATAATGAAAATTTAAAAAAAAAAAAAAGATAAAACCAGTTTTTCCACAATAAGGCGTGTAGGTAACCATCATTATTCAGAATATTTAATCTTCTTGTTGCCATGGACACCTGAATGCTGAATATTAATAAAGTACTTTGTGTCAATGTTACCTTATTGTTATTCTTTCAGTAATCCTAAGAAAATTACTGAAAATCTTGCAGTAAATGACTAGCAGTTGAAAAAAATCTTAGTTGTTTTATCTAAATATTTACTACTAAAAATCTATAAAATGAAAATGCAGTAGTAGACTAGGACTCAGCTTGTTTCAGTTACAGATAGCAAAAATTAAGTATCTCTGATTTTCCATGGATTTTTCAGCATGATATATTACCTTTTTTGCAGATTTACTGCTTTATTTTAAGACATACAAATCAATGCTCTGTTGCCATATTCTAACATCCATTTGACTTACCATGTCGCACTGGGTTTTTTTTATGTTGAATATGCATCCTTCCATAACCCTTTCCTTTATTGAATCAGCTAAGTGGAATTTTAGAGATCCTGATCTTCATTAAAAAAATATTTCCTGCCATACTGTAATATTCATGCCCAAAACATTATGAAAACATCCCTACGTCCTCAACGGACTACTGCTAATACCAGGCAGTATGATTTGATCTGTTGAATTAGCCAGAGCAAATAATATACCATCTATGTTCTAGTCACAGAATGATAAATTTTGCCTTATTTAACAGAGGTTTACCAGGAAAAGCTTTCCATTTAATGTTTTTGGAGAAATTGAAACCAGAGAAGTATCAAAATGTGATCACATTGTACCAGCACATACTATATTTTTAATTGTATATATATATTTTTTTTTAATCTGAGAGGAGGGCCCTATAACTGTGTTTATCGCTTCATGCAACTACAACCTTATATACTATAAGCTTGAAGCACGTACAGACTTGTCAACTTGTTCAGGTTTTCCTCACATCAAGCTATTCTTATTAGATTTATAAAATCCAAATTTTACACTCTAAAAGGAAAAAAAAATCCAAAGGCAATTCCAATCCTGTTCTGTTACTTTGTTAGAGTAAATTATGATGCAAGTTCAACATTAATGCTCACAGTTCATTCTTGTAAGTGAAGTAGCATTTTGAAGAAGCAAAGCCTTAATAGCGGTGGATTTCTGACACACAATACTGGTGTCAGAACACATGTCAGCTTTGGAAAGCAAAACACAGACACATTACAGTAATACTACAAATATTACAATAATTTAGTCTTCATTAAAGGTTAAAGAATTGTGAATATGACTTTTTAAAACGGGCAGCAAGATTTAGTGAGTTGGTTTAATTCCGAAATGCAGTACCTATGAGTTCATAAAAACAGACCAAGTGGCATTTACATGGCATCTAGAAGATAATCAAAGTTCTGCACTATGAATCAACACTGTGCAGCATGTGCACTGCAAGACATATGGGAATCCTTGTAATGAGGAAGCCATCACATACCATAATATTGCCAACGTGACACGGGGGCAACCGCTATTCCACACTTGAACACGCCGCTTCCAGAGCCAAGCACCATGGAGGTCACATATCCCCCATAAGACTGAGAAGAAAACATTGCTGTTATTTTAGTCAGAAAGAAAAGGATGGGGCCCATCTGCTAAACGGTTCATCAGACATTTATAGGCTCATCGTTTTTCATATTAATGAACTCCATTCTGAATTTGGGTCAGATCTCACCCAGCCTGCTCAGTCGGGGAAGCAGGCATCAAACAGCGCATGGCAGCTGTGGCGCTGATGAATGAGAACTTGCTAGGGAAAAAGGGTGCAAACGCTGCTGAACTGTGACTCAGCTAAGGATGACAGTGTTTGGTAGCACCGTAGGCAGCAGCGAAAGACAGGAAACAAGACACTGCTGAACCGCTGTGTCCCTCTCCGTGCTGGGGGAGTGGGTGGAAGCAGAGCTCGGGCCCACAATGTGCCCGAGGCATCCAAAAATTTACAACTCCCTCAGAGCAGGCCTATGGCAGCTCACTTGCTAACTCTCCTCTAAAGCGTCAAGAGCAAGACTGTGACTGGGGAGTGAAGGATCTTCTGCTGAGTCTGTGGGAGGAACTGTGCAGCAACACACTCCTTGCTATGCACAGAAAATTCACTCGCAGTGTAGCCTGATACACAGATGAGTAAATATCTGACACACTTGAGCATCCAGGCAGCAAGATACCTAAACAATGTCACTGACCGCCCAAATGACTGCCCTCACTATAGTTTGAAGGGGTTATTTAGGAAAATGTGCCCACCCACATTCAAAAAGAAGAGCAATTTTTGGATCCGATTCCTGTCTTGAAACCAGACTACAGGCAAATGGAATTGTATCTTAGTTCAAAGCCCTTAAATGTTTGCTCCAACTTTGATACTTAGGTCCTCCCAATAAGATTAGCAAAGTAATTAATGTACTTAGTAATTAAATCCATGTATAAATATGTTGCTAATCTGGTCATCATAAAGATATTCCTGCCAAACCTATGGCAAACAAAATTAATGTACATAGTGACAGGCTGACAGTGAGAGGCTGACAATCTGAAAAGTCAAGAAGGAAAACCTTTGCCCACAGGTTCAGTATCCAGGATGCATAACCCAACCTAGCCCCAGAGGATCGTTCAACTATTCATCCTGAGGCTCATGAGGAGTACAGTGTAAATGCATTAAATACTCCACTTCTGGATATGCATTAAATACTCCACCCCCCTACAAGAAAAGCTACTAGAGGCACCATCATCATCATCATCATCATCATCATCTTGCCATCAAGCAATTTATTCACCGGTGTCTGTCATCAGCAGTGACCAAATTTTAGCTAGCAACTTAATTTCAGATCCTGCATATATTTAAACATAGCATGCCTAAACAGAGCATGCAAGAATACTCCCCGTGACACCAGAAAAAGCAGTAAAACAGCAGCCCAGGATAGAGAAATACTCAGTTTGAACCAAATAGATATCACTAATATTATATATACTTAGCCTTGCAGCTGAGGGGTTATGTATATGCTGTTAAGCACTCCCCTCTACTGTGACAGGTTTTAAAGACACATCAAGTCAGAGATATCTGGCCTCTGGTTGGAAGTACTGCTGAAATAAAATAAAGCCAAACACAACAACATAGCAGATTTAGATATTTACAGGCTGCTAGTAAAAACACAACCACCATGCCACACAGCTGGTTCATATGTAATTTTACATCTTTTTTTAAAAAATTAGAGTAATCCAACTAATATAGAGACACACTAGTGAATATATACTTAGATATATATTTTTTATAAATACTGCTTTATCTTACACAGAGGAACTTGGCAGTATCTCTTTAAATAGTTTTTAATTGCTCTAGTAATCCTGATTTCTGTTTCAAAGGCCCCTGAATTCTTACAAAAGGACATTGTATACAGGCACTTGTAAAATGTACTTCATCAGTTCAGTTGTCGGACTATGCCATGACCCCCGAAGTGCCTCACACCAAGTACTCCAGCACTTCACACACATGGCAGCAGAACAAATAGTTGTTGCAATTAAATAATAAACCAGTTAAACTTATTTGAGTACTTACCCAACCCCAAATAGCTATTCTGTCCTTATCAACAAAGCCCATTTCAGAAAATTTTCTAAAAGCAAACAGAGTAATTAAATGTTTAATGGATTACAGGTATCTGCCATTATACAGATGTGCCTATTTTCCATCATGTTTACCGCTTTCTATTGTACAAATAAGCATTTCTCACAGTGACTGTATATAGAAACCTACAATACTTCAGGCACGTGTATTTTTAAGAAACTCAGAAAAATAAAAATCAGTGCACGTGAAAAAACAAAACCTGGATGCTCTCTTAAAGCCCTCAAACCGTGCTCACCGACATTTGTGTTGTATTAGGTTAGATTTTTCCACCTGCCTCACCTTGCATCACTTTCCCTCAACACACGCTGCGCCCTACCCCGCCACCTTCCCCCCTCTGAAAAAGAGGAAGAACACTCAAATTGCAGCAGTAAGGTAAGTAAGGTACAAGCTGACATCTGTAAATCCAGTCAGGGTTCAAAACAAAAAGATTCTTAAATTATATTTGTTTAAACTCCTTAACATTTTCAAATCCCCAAAAGCAAACCCCATGCAACCACTTTGTGATTCTTAGAGATTAATACTGACATCTTTCAGTTTAGTGAAGTTCTACAAGCATAAACCAAGCGATGAACATGAACTGGAGGTAAAGACTGAGTAGTTCATACAAATAACTCCATCACAACAGACACTTGCATAAAGGCTTGGAGTAAAACTTCAAGCTGCAAGTTCCTTGGTAGCATGCTCTGCTACTAATGTCACAGCTATAATTTCTACGAAACCAGAGATACGGTAAATTTGTATTAGAGCATTAACTCTTCTCTCTTTTTTAAGCATAAAATGATGGTTGGCCCATAAATGACACACTTCAGCATACAAAAACTAACATAGTTGTGTTTTTGCCAGTAATTTCAAGATGACCATTCAAAACCTTCACCTTTTTTTCCCCTACACAATAAGCACAGAAAATCAGGAGCAGATGTTGACCATTTTCCTGTATCTCACCTGGCTGCTTCTATCTGATCTTCCACTTCATATGTTCCCAGCCTTCTGTTTATAGCATGCATAATTTCGTCCCCTTGGTACCCACTTCCTCTGCCATCGAAGCTGGCCACAATGATCTGCTCGGTGCTGGCAAGGTAAGTAGCCCAGCTGATCCGGTAGACATAATCTACTTTCTGACTACAGGGTCCTGCATACCTGAGTGAAAAGTGCCACAGAATTCAGGCATTTACTTTCGACATATTCTTACATCAAGCATTTGAAATATGATTATTGCTGACAATTTTCAGCCACCAAAGAAAGGTAAACTTTTAAATTAAACTGAGCAAACAAGAAAAGCATTACTGACTGACTCCAAACTGCTGCTTTGCCTGGACACTAAACGCAATATGATTTTTTAAAATGTCAATTGTTAATCAAGAACGCAGACTGGATTTTATTTTTTTTATTGCTCTCTGCTCTAATAAGAAACTTTCGTTATGTTAACTTTAAGCAACTTATCAGAAATCCAAACCAAATTTTTTTTGTGTTGGCATATCTAGCTATCTGAGTTTCAAAGCGATGCTCTTTAACTATTTCTGTTCCATTTACTCATAATTTATTTAAAGTCTGAAATCAACAAATAGCATTCATTTGGGAAAATTAAAAGATCTTTTTCTGCATTTTTAGCATCTTATCAGTTCCCTAGAGCCTAAACTATTTCTTCTGCAGGCTGAGAAAAAAAGCAAAACTGTAATCATAACTTTTTATTTTAAAATATTTGGAAGCACGTGAGCACTATGAAATCGCACTCTGAGTACCTGGATGGTAAAATTCTATTTGCAGTGCAATAACCCATTTTTCCCAGTTTTAAAAGCAAAGAAAAAAACCTGCTAGGAATTCTCTATATCAAGCTTTGTTTCTATATGCTATGGATCCTGATGCTTCCAAAGAATTTCTGATCTCAAGATCACCATGAAGCAGAGGTGATCCTGACAAAGGCCTGCATAAGTTAATAAAACCAGAATCAAATGCAAAATAAGTCTTAAGAAGCAAAAAGCACTCACTGCTCATTAAAACATTCAATAGGCATTACATTATATAAAAGTGTATCTAACAATTTCATGGAGTCAGCTTTTCATAAAAAGAGGAAAAGGTTAACATTTCTATTTTAAGGAATAGCTAAATTTCAGTAATTTCCAGTTAGAAGATGACATACCAGCATGAACAGAAGTTCCTGAGGAAGAATGGGCCAAACAGCATGTGCTCATGGTCTTGAATTTATGAAAAAAAGCACAAATGCAATCCTGACCACAAGATGCAGTTTGCCAACATTAGCTGACAGTCAAATACCACAGAGAAAATCTGACATCACACTCACTACTTCAGCTTTAGGATACATGGCTTATTCAAGGCTTCATCCTGAAATGTAATTTCCTTGAATATTTTTCCTAATGAACTCTAAGAGTGGGGAGGTAAGCTAACGCTATCATCCTGGCTTTTAAGTCAGATATGGAATGTATCTACCTTACTGCCAGCAGCAAAATATGTGCTTGTTAAACATTACATCATCTTATCACAAATTGGGATATACCTCATGTTTTTCATTCCTTCTTAAAACAACTTCAAGAAGTAATTAGAAAACATGCCAGTTTTGTTTTTCCCAATCTTATTAAAGCATTTGAAGTAGATGAAAGTGATTATTAACACAACATTGCCATGCAACTTGGAAGACTTACACATCAAGGAGCAGAGGGTACTTCTTTGATGAATCAAAATGGGGAGGCAATATCATTTGATACCACAGGTCTAAAAGTGAAAAGACTTTGACTTAGGTCAGTTCTCCAATGAAATAATTTGACATGCTTTGCAATTCACACAAGGGCACATTTGAGTAACTGCCTAAAACTTAAGTAGTTTCACCTGAACTGTCCTAATATATACAGGTAAGAGTTCCTAGCTAATATAATGATTTTTTTTTTTGAAAAATATTTTATAGCTAAGTTAGCAGGAAGTCTGGAACTGGAATGTCTACGATAATAATAAAATTCAGGGACTCAACATGCTGTCTCATAACATTATTCTACATTATGAGCTTATATGTAAAACTTGGTAAGTCTCTACAGTGGTAAATCTGACACTAGCTCAAAAATGTTTCTCTACCCAAATTTTAAATATTTTGAACCTGCCAGATAGGCTTTGCATGACAGTTTGTAAAGCATCCCAGAAACATATCCAAATATCTATTATTTCTCAAGCAACATTGACTCCTGTTCCATCCATGTTACTTTCCACCCAAGTTGGCTGAGAGTTAGCTGAATTTTAAATGCACACCGTGCAAGTTTTGCAAACCAATTGGCTCGATTGTTCACTCATGAATTTTAAAAGAACTAATGCTGCAAAGGAAGCATGAAGCAATGCTGATGGCCTGCACTGCAGTAATAGCCAGAGTGTAAGTCTTACAGAAATTTCTCCAGATATGAATATGTAAGACATTAAAACACACAAAAAAATTAGCAATCTAAATTGAACACATGAAAATACTAATTTTTGTGTACTCTATAGTTAGAGGAGTGGATTTCTTTTTTGATAACATACATACATGGATTTATTTCTCCTATTTGTGACATTAAAAATAGATTCCCCTTACCCAAAAGCTTTTACCCTGAAGAGATGAAATAGTAAGAACAAAGAGGAATAAAAAGATGAATATACAGCTGATAGATGAAGAACATCTTTAAACCTCCATCTTGCCTGGAACATTTCATCTTTAGCCCTAGTAAATGTGACAGAAATAAGACAGAAAATTCAAAGATAAAGAGAGTTATTATATACTTAAGGTAACAGCAGAAGAAGGGAGGCATCAAAAAGAACAGTTAAAAATGACTGACAGAACTCAGTATAGTTTGTAAAATATAATTCCATTAAGAATATTAATTCATTTTATCGAGTAAGTTTGCCATGAAGAAAAAAAAAGCTAGTAGCAAAGGCTAGAGCAAGACAGGTACCAGGCTTCTCACTGCTGGTCTGTCTGATGTTCCTCACCAAGGAGCCCACCAAGAAAGCTTCTATACCCAGACATGCAAATTCACAGGGAAACCACTAGCAAAGCATTAGCAGTTCATTTTCTAGCATTTTGTTCCAGTCCATATTAAAAAGATTTATGTAGCCTTGGAGTGTGAATGTGCTTTTCAAAATGTGACTATTTAATCCAAATGTTCCCCTACACAAAGCCAAAGGTGATTTTCTTGAAATGTAGCCTAAATGATTTTGCAAGCTTTTCCATTTAGATTCTGTCTGGTTTTTGATAGTAACTGACCTTCTCCACTATCTCAACCTGTTAACATAAACCAAAGTGACTTGTACCTGTACATTAACACCCACTTGAATTTATAATTTAATTTAAATTCAACAATGGTTATGAGCATTGTGCCCCACCCCCCATTCACCATATTTATTTATTTAATGTGATGTTAGGGACTTCTGTTTTTCAGGTAATTATCAAGGAAAAAAGGAGTTAAGCCAATTAGTCATGAAAACACCAAGATATCACACTAGGGAAAAACCATACTTTAGATAAGAATATTTTGGAATTTCAGGAAAAAAGACAGAATGTTTGCAGATGTCAAAAAAAAAAAAAAAATCTCGTCTTGACTCTAAATGCTGAATAACTGCAATAATTCCCACTACATCCATCTTTTCTGTCATGTTTTTCAGCAGAACGCCTTAAAGCACTTGGTGAAAGGGGGAGAGAAAAGTAAAAAGGTTTTGAACTTACTGTATCCACCTACACTAATGAAACCAATTTTTTTTGAAGGCATCTGAATATCTTTCAATGCATTTTCCAGTTCAGTGTTATTTTCCAAGTATCTGAGGACTAAGTAATAGAGTTAGTAAGAATCAAAGATTAAATACATTATTTTCAACGCACTGCTCTTTATGAGCCACTTTAAAAAAGTCAATCTGAGATGATGGCAACCTACGCTGCAATCTTAGTTTACAGCAATTTTTTTTCTTCCTCTCAGATTCAATGTTTACGATATAGTTTTCCTTCAGTAATTTAGTAATCAGAAAGCTGGTTTCCCCATGTTTCATTTAAATGCAATTTCAGAAAAACTGAACAATTATCCAGTAAATAAGTCATACATTACTCACTGTTTTCTAGCACAATGTAAAAGAATATTAAATAAACTATGATTAAACATATGCCAAGATATATAATTTATTTTGGTTAAGTATACTAGAGTAATTATCTGAAATTAGGTTTACCCTTTATAACTGACATTTTAATTATTATACTAAGCAATGGGAACAAAATTAAAATAAATTTATAGTGCAATTTTCTGGCCCAACACATCTTATGTTTTAAGACAATCCCATACCTTGATCATCACTGCTCCTGTGCATAGTAGACATGGGCAGGCCGGGACCTGTTAATAGAGCACAAAACCTTCATGTCTGCATGCTGCCTCAAAACACAACCCTCATAAAGTTGAAGTGGGTGAATCATAAAAGCTCAGAGCACGTTTCCCTCCAGTCTACACAAGCTCGATTTTAAGTTAGTAGGGTCTCATCTCAAGCCACAGGATCCTGTAAAACATTCAGACTGTCTCGCAGGCGAACCACATGATTGTGAAGTACTGAAGAATAAAATTTCCACTCTTTACCAAAGTCTACCCACGGTTTGGAAATCAGTAAGCCTTGTCACTGAGACCACAGCAGTCTTCTTCAAACAGCAATTTTTACAACATGACAATATTTCCCTCTCTGCTATCTTTTTGTCCTTCTAGCCCATAGATCAAGGAAGATCTTGGCATCTTAAAAAACCCCATACATTTCAATTCAAGGGAAATTTCAGAGAAGATTTAATCAAAGGGTAGGAAAAAAAAATTATCCCTTGTACTATCCAGCACAAGCACTTACAGGTCAGAGACAGACTACAGTCCCACTGCTTAATTTATGATTATGTTAATTGAATTTTTTTTGAACATCACTACCTTAGTTTTATTCCCACACAGAGCACTTCTCTTTATCCAGCCTGCTCCCCGTCTTGCTCCCAGAGCCTCCAAATTCCTTCTACAGACAGATCTTCCCATGCACCTCCTCAGGAGATGCACAGCAGACAAGAGTCTTTTGTACCCCTTTTAGGTCCACTACTGGATAGAACTATCAAATTTTACCCTGGTAATTTTTGTCAAGGTGATTTTGAGCCTAGGATGGAGTATGTTTTTCCACTGCCAATGCATTTATCCAACAATCTCAACACATATCATTGTTACGCAGTACATATCAAGATCTTGACGAAGTGAACTTCCCCACCCAACTAACCAGTAAGTCATATTTACGTCAACTAATTCTGGATATACTCACCACGACAATCTAGCTGATAATACTGTGCGTCTTTGCTGAAGGACACAGAATAATACTGGCATCTTTCTTGACTCAGATCACAGCTAACACATTTAGTAGAACTTGGACTGCTTTCCAAGAGCACTCTGCAAATTAGATGAGCTTCATTTCAGCGATTACTTTTTTTTTTTTTTTAAGCTATGTTATACCAATGTATGCTTTTTAAATAAGATGACCAAATGGAATATGTTAAAATTCAGGAGTAAAGTCCTTACTGATGTAAAAATTAGAGAAGACAGACTTTAAACTCTGGAGTTCAATTAATACTGCAATTATAATCACAGCAAAAAAAAAGCATGAGAGACTTTCTTTAGGGGTTTGTTGCTTGAGGATTAGTTGTTTCTTTTCACAATTTCCCTTTACTACTAAATTTACATAAAAATATTTATATTTACAGTTTATACTCCTACACTGATTTTCATTAATTATCTTATACAGGATCCCACATTAGACTGTGAACATCCAAATCTTTTATTTTGCAATGCTTTTTCTTAGAGTTACTTTTTCATTAACAAATATTTTACTCATACTGCAGAAAAAAATTCTTACTTATAAAGATTTCTTCCTCCTGGCATTCCATTGTTTTCATTACTAATGTAGTATCTATAAAAGCAAAACATACTGGTTTTGGTAAAATATTTACTGTACATGACAATATTTCAAGGTTTATCTTACATGTTTAGATCAGATTTTTAATGATTTAAATGACAACTTCTCCCTGATCTCCCTCCCTGATGGCTTAAACCCTTGTTAAAAGCTCTCCTGATAGGAATCAATAGCTTGATTACAATACTTACAGGAAGTTATTAGTTACAGCTTCTACGCTGATTACTTCCCATTTTCCTTCAGTAATGGGTACTGGAGCCTGGAGTGGGAGTAAAAGGCAAGGCAAAAAGTAGATCATGAAGCTTCTTGATCACCAGGAGAAACACAAGTCAGCAGTGACTGTCCTACACCTTATTACTTACCTGTGAGCCATTTATGTAATGGATATGCTTGTAGCCTACTGCATTGCTGAAGACTTTGTAGTAGGTAGCATTGTCAGGTGCAAAGTGAGGGACAGATGGCTGAAACTTGAACACAAGAGAGATGTCTATTAAAGTGAACAACAAAACTTCAAAACTAAGATGATAAATTTAGGTTTTGGTATCTCTAAACAGGAGTTTCAATGCTTAATGCATCACTGAATGTACTGCAAAAATTTTTACCTACTGATTTAGTAGGTAGAACCTGTAGCCATTACCATAAAAGTAAACACAAAAATATTTTTTTGCTCCTTAAGCAGCAGAATTTCCCGAGTATTAGCCCTGATCAATATCCCCTCCTACCTTCCTAGGATTGTAAGTTCTAAAGGTGTTCCTGGTTTCCTACCATTTTAGGAAACAATATGTGCATCTACTTTTAAAGTCATTGTTTTAATTCTGTCCAACACCAACATGGAACTGTAACCTATAGCAATATAAAAATCACAAACACCTGTTTTCCTTGAATTTCCCATTTTAAAACACATATTTGTGAGCAAATTCTTTGAATTCTATGCACCCCTCTATCCAAAGAAAATGAGCTGTTTTCCAAGAAGAAATTTTGCTAGTAAGTAGGTGATTACAAAATGCCAGAGAATTTAAATGGGAATGATATTTTTATGAAGGAACTACCCATTTATCAACTGCAACTGATGGAAATTAATGGATTCCCTCTACTGACCGTCATTCGGATGTGCTTCACACAATAGAGAGAAAACCAGAAGAATGAAATTAAGCAGAATGAAATAAAAGTTCTTTCTGTGATAAATATCCAATTGACACAACAGAACTACCTCGGAGATGTTACACCCATTTTTTGAAATGGAAAGTGAAACAGAAAGATGAAGTGACTTGCCTCTGGTCACTCAGTAAGCAATAACAGAACTTGAGTCTTCCTAGCTCATGTGCTCCAGATAATCTCTCCTTCTTCCCTAGCAATATTTTTGCAAAAAATAACCTGGCAAATATTTTGCTAGCTTCTCCCTTATCGCAGTCTTGCTTTTTCAAAGTGTGACTTTCCTTCAACTCAACTGGCAAGCTCTAACTTAGCTCATGACCTGGAAGCCTTATGCAGTAACACAGGCTGTTCTGAGCATTCTTAGATTAAGTACAATTTCATCTCTTTTTCTGAAAAAAAGAAAACAACACTATAGAGGGAGAACTATATATTTTATGTCCATATATAATTTACTGAAGTTTGTATATACATTTATATGAATTGAATATACATATATATGTGTATATATACATATCTCATATATATATAAAAATATCCCATATCAGTCAAGTGTCATTTTATCATCCCTAAGTAGATAAAAGAAAGGAATAAATATACCTTTCCTATCCCCTCTTCAATCCTCCCTACTTTCCACTCCCTTCTCAAATTCAAGATTCATACAGTGAGATTATCTATTTCTTCCAACAGCTCCTAAGATGTGGGTTGTCTCTTTAAAAGAAACAAAAAACCAACAACCTAGTTTAATGGCACAGACTTGCATTTTGCCCTCTCATTTTGCACAACTGTTTACAAAGTCTGCAGCTTGATCATCACATTGTCTAATTGTGAAGCCTTTGCTGCAGAGAAGCAAAATGTGTCAGCGTTAAGGCCTTCCTTTCCATATCAAATTTGACAGCAGGTGGGTTGATCTCTCATCTTCATACTGCGGATGATTTCATCCCTGCTGTTGCCTCCCTCTTTGCATTTCTTTAAACTTTCATTTTTGACTTCAAAAGTGAATTAGTGACTAAAGCATAATCAGTGTGTGGAAAATGCGGGAGTGGAAAGTGTACTCTGTGTTCTCATCAAAAACTCTGAAACTCATTTCTCCCTCCAAGTCTGAACTTTTGCATCTCTGCTTCACTTCCCCCAGATCTTCTGTGTAGTTCATTAGGTGCCTACTCTCTACCATGTACAAAAGGACTGAGAGGCAGCTTGGAAAGCATCATCCAGACAGTAGCGATTGGTTTGGCAGGAGTATATGAAAATCTTAATCTGGTCAGTTATATGCATCTTGTCCCCAGTTCTCTTCAATCGATATTTCAGGTAGCGGAAAAATAAATAAATAAAAAACCCCAAAGAGAACCTGGAATGGTTTGCTGCAACCTGAAATGTTAAAAATTACTTTCATCCTTTATGCCTTTCCTCCAATACAATTCAAAGGTTATAGGACACACTTCTTAATATATTTTATCCCCTAGATAATTCTGGAGGTGGCAGGAAGACTGGAGAGCAGCCAAACCAGCATAGCTGACAACTCCCCCAGAACAAAGGGAATTCTGAATCCTGGCTCCAGCACTCCCCCACCTACTGCTACTGAAGTGGTAGGTCAAAATTAAAAAGGAGTCTGGAAGGAGCACTCTGGTTTTTGGCAAGCTGAACATGATGCATTGGTCACGGAGGATGCAGTTACTGCTCCAGCCCATGCTGCACTGTCAGCCCAGCATGGGAGTTCAGAACCCCGTACCCATAAAAGCTTAAAACTGGGAGTGGGGTGGCATAGCAACTCCATTTGAGACCATTTTTTCCTATGCATGTAAAATTCGACAAGTAAATGGATCATACCTACACACAAGAGGCACTGCAATTGGCAAGAAGCTCATACAAAATTTTCATAATTATCAGTGTTATTTAGCATGTAGCAGTTTTCAAAATTGAACACTCACTCTGCCAATCCAGCCAGTTGTACTTTCTTCCTTAAGTTGTTTTTCCTAAGAAAGAAAAAACAAACAATCCCACAACAATTATGTTTATTTTACACCAGGCTATGCTTCTACAAAGATAAACATACAGAGATATGCTACTCCTTTCTAGTTTCATTTATCAAGCACTGTGACATTCCCACCTCATTTTTCTTACCTGTGGACATGACCAATTTCCAGTAGCACTTTCAAAGTCACAGACTGTGAGGACTGAAAAATTCTGAATTCTTCTGAGCCACTGCAGACAGATCCTTTCATCTGTCACCCATGTTACAACACTCAAATAATGATCCCTGAAAACAGCAATAGCATTAGATATTTAAAATCCTTGCTGTAATAGCATACCATACCATAGCACTCAGCAATTCACTGAATGAGACTCATCTGGCTATTTTCATTTCAATCTACTCTTCAACAATAAACAATGATGCAAACCTAATTGAGCCATTTTTTTGTCAATTGCTTTTGCTGCTAGTAGATGCCATGGTTATCTTCATTCATACAATAAAGAATTAGATGGTTTGTACATACCCGCTTCCAGAAAGACAGCAATTAAATTCTAACAGTCAGATCACTATCCTCTAATGCATAAAATAATATCTATTCCAGACTGTTCATAAATCTTGTACTCTGTGCATCTAGAGGAAATTCTTCTAAATATTAAGTTGTATGGGCCCTAGATTTTAGCTGCATGAAGTTGGTTGCTTGTAAGCACTTTCTGAGTGATACACATATTTGTTCAATTTAGTACTTTTTTCCATTAGTTAGAATGGGGGGAAAGATCATACCAAGAACAGATATTACTATTTGAGTATTTTATGTTCATATTCAGAATACCATCTACTTGACATGAAGAACTGGAGTATCTGAAAAAAAAAATCATTTTCATGAATATTCCTGTATATTAATTTTAAAAAGGCACACCAAAATTTTGTGGTTTTGTTTACCATTACGATCTGCTAGATGTACTCGTCTTTTCTTATTTTAGATCTCCCCAATCTCCTATAAGCCTTATGAACTAAAATAAAACAAACCTCCCCTCCAAAGCAAGTATACATTTTTAACTGGAATTTGCACATTTGACGTAGTTCCAAGTTCATGTTCCCTTTTTCCCCAAAGTTAGTTAACAAAAATGTGTGGGAAGTTTTGTGGTGAGAGTAAGTATCTTCGTGATCACTGCTGGGGTGGGGGGGAGTGGGGTGAGGAGGGAGAAAAAAGGAAAAGAAAACACTACAATTAGTGTGGATGGATTAAAAATATATGCTAACTGGTTACTGACCACTTTCAGGTTTATTTCTAGATTGCAGGTTAGAAACATGAAAAAGGTCTATTTTTGCATTTATATTTGACTAGGAAGTTGGTAGGTCATTTAACTGTTACTGTCCCTGGCTTCAAACAATATATTTTTGACCAATAATATTATAAAAACACTCTGCAGGAGTCTGTTTGAAAATAAAAATCAAATTGATATTCTTCATGTACCTATAATAGTGGTTTCCCCTATTTTGTAAATGGAGAATGAGCCCCACAGCTTCTGTTCCTTCAATGTGAGAGAAGTTAACAATTCTGGAAACTATAAATCATCCATCAGACAAGACAGACAGTACAAGAAAAAAAAAACACCAACAAAAAATTATTATGCTGTTATTATAGGAATACATCTTCAGTTTTCAACAACCCATGAAATGTTAACTAAGCTGCAATTAACTCAAAGTATAGAGTACTGTAGTTTTGCATTGCCCTTCCTCATTTGCTGCTGAGAAGGGATATTCCTGCAATCACCGTCTGGAGCTCTCTACTTTGAAGACAACTTATTTTTAGGACGGATCATTTCAGACAAGAAGCATCCACTGCCTTCATCCTCCTGTTAGCCAACAGGAGCCCCCAGTACCCATGATGTTAAAAGCGGTGTTTAAATGCTGTATGGATTTCATGCTGGTCATTCATGCAAAAAGCGTCAAGTTTCATCTACCATCTTACATGGCAAAGCACTGCCATTCCAGATTCTGGCAGCTCTCCTTGGCAGGTAGTAAAACTTTCCCTCTGAAACATAAATGCACAGTGCACCCTTCTAATGTGGGGGTACAAGTGCTGTGCATACAAGCAGCTCTGCAACAGGCAACATTAGCAGGGGCACTGCCCCTTGACATCCACACTCAGGCAGGTGGGGTGAGGTATGCCACCAGTTTGAATTTACTTATTTCCAAGGAAGTAAAACCAGAATTTTCCACCGCAAAAATTTAAGTTTTCCTGTCATACAGCATTCTAAATATAGGTACTGTGCAAATATGCATTATTTTGTCCTTCCAGGAGCAAAACTACCCAACAGTAACACTGCACATCACTTCCTTTTTCCCGCTCATGTACTTTTGCTCTTGCAAAATTCCCCAAGACTTGTTCTGGCCACCTCAGTGTTTACAGGATGCACATGCTCATTATTTGGATTAGCTGTTGGGAGAAAGACTACATTTCCATCCTTACATTCATCATTCAAGACTTGATTTAGCTTTGTATTAAACCTCATTTACAGAGTGTTACATTAATTTAAAAATGGATTAACTCCACATAACTCAGGCTTGTGTTAGCCAGATGGGTACAAGGCTGGAAGGCAGATGATGATTATTCTCCCCAGGTCACACAACAGCGCTGTTCAGCTTCATTAGGTGTTAACAAAGGGAAAAACAACTCTAAGACAGCAGAGATCTTAACCAGAACTGACCAAAACATAAAGGGCTTTTAATTCTGAGGCTCTGAAATTATGGAGAAAAACGGCACACAACAGCTATATAACATCTAGCTATTGCAGTGTTACTGTAGAGAAACGATAAACAACATATTCATAAAATCTTGAGTATCTCAGTTAACGCAGAGATGTCAGTTACACTGTGGTGAGGACTGAAACAGAATAGCACTGACATTCCAGTTATAGCTTTTTGGCCACCATGTACAGAATGCTGGTTTTATGCAGTAGCTAACAGACCTCTTTTGTTTTTTCTGAAGTTTATCAGTATAACCTGCGCTTCCATACCCATCATGTTTGTAAGTGCAAACCTCTAAAAAATTTCCACAATACTGTTAAAAAGAAAAAACAAAACCCAAGATCTGGGATACCAAATTCTGTGTGCATGCATTTTAAATCAATTTAGCTGCTCTTTACAAAATACATTTATATCATGTTGTGCATTTCCAGTGGCATTTTGAAAAATACAATTTTCCATTTACTGTGAGAGGTGCCGGTTTTCACCACGTTTCCAAAGAAAACAAACATTTTAAGTATAAATCTGAAGACAACCATGATACCTTGCCTCAGCAAGGAGTCTGCTTCCAATGAAATCAAATCTTCACTTACCATTAAGATTTTGTTTTGTTTTTTGTTGTTTTTTTTTTCCTCCCCAGTGAATTGGAATACATATATTATAATTTGATTATACCAAAACTTGCTCATATTAAAGTTGTACTGTGAAATGACTTCACCATAGTTAGACTCCACTGAATGTGATGAGCCAAGAACTTGTCACATTCTGAATATAACATACATGGAATATGCCATCTATATATAATCACTAGGAGGATAATCTCTGTGCAGATTTTCTCTGGTAAATCTTGTTGCTACCAGAGCCACATGACTGGGAAAAACTGCCATATACACAGAATTATAGGGTGGTCACAAATAAAAGCTCCTCCTCCTCCACCAAAAGAAACAAATAAACATTCAACCAAAATTTCTTACCCTGATTTTATTTCTTCAGGTGGAGAAATTTCGGCAGAGCGGAACTCGGGAAGAGATTTAGTATCCACAATAAAGAGTTGCACAGTTGGATTTTTAGCTCCTGCCTAAAAATAAAATTTTTCATTGTACTTTTGAAGAGAGAACATTCCTAGTGAAGTGTTTGAAACTATAGACAAAGGCATTACTACAGACCATCAGGTAGAACCAGCCAACTTCAAACATGTGAAAAGACAAGTTCCTAAATGCAGTTCTTAAGATCAATACATAAACTATCCTTTGTATTTTTTTTTTTAAATGTGAAAGTGTTACTTATGTATTTCTAGGTAAGAAAGACTACTACATTTAGAAACATTTGTAACTACAAAGGGCTTGCTGTACCCAAAACACTGTTTGACCACATCTCGTCCCACATGCCACACACAGTACCTAAGAGTGAATCAAATCCATTTCTAACAGACAGAAAAGTGCTTCTTCATGGAAACATACCTTACGTTAAGTGATCATATAAAAGCTGCCTATACCACAAACAAATCTGTGACTGTACCATGCACCCCACTATTTTTAATGTAGTGCTACTGACAGCAATATAATAACTGTGCCAGCAACAGCTTCTCTAGTAGTTAACTAGCCAAGTCCTCATAACAGTTAGGTAGTAGTAAGTTGACCCCCTCCAGAAGTCAGGAATATTTCAAACAAAGGAGTTTGCAATAAAAGGCGTAATTTAATTGGCAGTTCATTCCACATCTCTTCACAAGCACCAGGCTCAGGGCAGAGCACCCTGACAAGCAGCTGTCAGGGAGCAGCAGCTTGCTGTGAGCATCAGTGACCCCTCTGGGGCAGGCTCCAAGGAGACAGAAAAAGGCAAGTGCTCCTGAAGCCTTGGGAAGAGTAGGGACTGACTGACCACGGCTGCTGCACAGGAAGCTAAACTTAGCACAAAGAGGACCAGAGGGTAGCTTTTACACCAGACAAACAGCTGTATCAGATAAGCAATCAGTTGGCTCTATCAGCTGTTCTGCCCCAGTCAATCAAGAGTGAAAATACCTCCCTGACCTAGCCAGATCAGCATGGGAGAGTTATATAGGTGTCCCAGCCCAGAACAGAGTATAAAAACCAAATGATGAACAAAAAGAACTGAAGAAAGTGATGGGTTTGAGATGGTTTTAACCCATAGATTCCTTCCTGGCAATGGGGATACTCAGCACTGTGGCAGTGAGCAGATTATGGAGACCAGCAATGAGAACCAAGTTTGTATTGCAATTCAGCAGTATAGTGCAATTCTTGTAGTCTAAGTGTATTTTGTACTTGTGTCTTAAGTGCATTGCTCTGCTAAATCAAAATCCCATATAATGTCAGATAACTTCACACAGGTCAATTAAGTCTGAAACCCGCGACTTGTGGAGTATCTGAAAGAACCTCTTTGGACTCTGACTCTCACACCATTTAGTCCAATGACAACTGTGCCACAAGCAGTGAGAACAAAGTCATGTGGAGAGGAAAGGGGAGGAGAAGGAGCTGCATGCACTAAAGGCTTCATTCTCACAGCTAAAACTGAAAGAGCTTTAGATGTGGGCAAAGAATCCCAATATAGGACGCATCCAACAACTAAGAATGCTACATTAGTTGAAGAAGATTCCATTATCAATACCACACACAACCTTAACACAATGTACATCTGCCAAACACTTTTACCAACTTGAATTCCTTAAGAGAATCTACTCGCTACCTCAAAATTTTCTGGTGAAACAATAAAACCTTAAATCATACTTTTTTTTTTTTCCCTTCCTCTGGAATAATAAAATACTTTAACATTGCCAGATACTGTTGACTTCAGAAAGAGTAATCACAGCAAGCTGTTGAGGAGAGACAGACAATATTTTCATTAGCAGAAATGGATTAAATGAGACTACTCTCTTAATGAAACTGCAGAACATCCATGTTTAATAAATAACACAGACCTTGGGATACGGTATTCTAACGGTCTTTGGATACTGCAAGGTGTCCTCAGAATAAAAGGAATACTCTATAACAGGAACTTCTGTATCATTAAATGCTGCATATGCCACAAAATTGCCATTTGGAGACCACCACAGAGCAGAATGGGTGCCAAACATTTCCTCTGAAAGAGACACAAATGTGTTTTAAGTTATAATTGATGTTGGCTCTTCTATCCTAGGTACTGTTCTCATTAGTTTTTAATAGGAATATTTTTTTTTTAATTGAAGTTCAAATACCAAAGTGCAGACTGTCTGTTGGTGTTCTGAAATGAGACGGTAGATCAATGCTTATAATCTAGCCTAAGAAGCTAATTCACACACTATGATGTCCAGTGACATGCTGCGAGTTAGGCCAACTCATTTCCGTCCTCAGGTCCTACTAGCCCAGTAAGGATGCATGCTTCTGTTAAAAAACATACTTAGATTATTTTGAACTTTTCAATAATAAGAAATAACAGTTATAATTAAATAATTATAATAAAACAAAGTTTTTACATCATAATGCAAAGTAAAATATGCTTGACAGTTACCTTCATAAACCCAATCTGGTATTCCATTGAAAATTTTATTTTCTTCTCCATTTTTAGTGATTTGCACAGGTTCTGTTGTTGGTGAAGTTTTTATATAAACATTATTATTCCAAACATATGCCTGGAAAACATCACTGTGATTACAATTACTGTTAAAGTAAATCCTACTTCCTTCCTTTGCCTAACCTACTGAGAAATTTACTTGTACACCAGATGACAAAAACATCATTGATACTTCATGAACTTGAATTACTAATACAAATCATGTGTAGCAACTTAACTTCAGGCCTAGATGCAAAAACCAAGCAACTATGATAAATGACATGATTACAGTATCAAGTTTTGAAAACATTGCTATTCATTTTCTGTTGAGAGACAAGCTTATTTTCCTTCATTAGAAATTGTTTTTCACTAATTTGTCTTTCAAAGAAAACCATCAGTACTTTGATAAAACATTGATGGGGGTCCCAGCATTGCCAATAAATCTGTAAAGATGGTGCATTTCTTCGGTAGCACTCAGAACTACTCTAGTTTTTGGCACCTGCTTGCCTCTCTTATCACCCCCGTTTTTCCTCTCCCAAACTGAAGAACACAGTTTTATTCCACAGCTTTGCTCCAAGATGCAGAAAGCTCTTTTCAACATTCTTTGCTTCTGCAGCTGGGCTCTATAATCCTTATATCTACAAGCAATAAGAATAAACACCACATTCTGCTCTAATAGCTCTTTAGTCGGATCCAATGCTCACCACAGGGAGCACACAAGCCTTGCAAACACAGTGGCTGTCACCATTGCCATGGATTCGGGAGGAGAGGAGGAAGAAAAGGACAGTGGGAAAGAGTACAAAACAGATTTTGATCCTCTAATCCCTGTTACATGCAGCTACCAAACAAAACTTCATTGATTAGGGTGTAATTAGGACATAAAAATCACAGTGATGAGTAGTCAGACAATTGTAATACTGCTGCCTTTGAAAGGGATGAGCTACTGTCTGCAACTGTAAAAACATGAAGTTCGTGTGCATTTGTGCATTTCATGACCACTGTGGCCACTACAGGAATACATCTTCTTTAACGAACAAGTCATAACATACAGAGGGATTTTGGAGTCTTTCCAGCAACAGCAGTCAATTTGGAAACTAGTTCAGCTACTTTATCTAACAGTAGGAAAGTCCCCAAACCTCAAGGGTACAGACAATGTGAGCTTCCACGTCACATCTACAAAAATGACTGTTTATATATTTTACTTATCTTTACTAACCAGTTTGTGACCAACAGGTGACCAGGATATATATTGTGTATCATTATGTAGTAGTCTGCCATCTAAAATAGAACTGGAAAAACAAAAACAAAATGCAGCTAAGAGAAATCAGTGAAATGTCATTTCATTGCAAAATAATGTTAAAACTCTGTCTCGTGTACAAAAATTACTGACCTGCTATTGAAATCATAGATGTGATATGAAGCTGTATAGGAATGCCTCCACAACTGCAAAAGAATTATTTTTAATATTAAGAAAATAAATTTCACTGGGATTTACATCTCTTATAGTTTGAATTACTGCTGAAACCTTCCTCATGCTTTTGTTTAAGACAAACAGAACACAATGAACATACAAGGGTAACAAATCTCTGCAAGGTTTAGGAAAAAATTGCCACTGCTCTGGGGCCATCACTTAAATGCTATGACAGAGGCCACTGACTAAGGATAGAGATACAGAGGCCAGAGATGCTGTGGATTTTCAGAAATCCTTGTAGCTATGTGGCAGACTATCGTAGCTATGCACAGTTAATCCTCCTCCTTCTGCTTTACTGGCGCACTTGCTGTTTTCTGTCTCATTTTCCATGCTGTATTATTTAACTTGGCATCTTACTGTTCAGCAGTCCTCACAAGCCCCAGCAGTATTTCTATAGAAGTTCCTCCAGTTCCAGGGTGACCTATTCCCATTAATACTGTCACAGAAATAAACCCCTTCTCTAAGAAACCTGCCTCTTGAAGTCTGTACCACTCTGTGGACACTTACAGAGAGAAAGACGATGATGATAAAGCAGCCACATTTAAATGTGTTCACTTCGTGGGGTTGAAGAGGTTTGATATAGCCCACATGTTGACATGTTACAATAATGCTACCTTCTATGATGGTTCTTGAAGATTTGTATGAAGATATAAAACAATAAGTTAGGACTACACAACCAGATGGCTATTACATAAGAAGCGTCTACATCCTCATGATTCATTTTGTTACTCTGTTTTCTTGCAATAAAGATTACTAATAACGTAACTTTCAAACACACTATTATATAAAGGTTAAAAGATCTTGCTTCAGCATTAAAATAAAACTCTTATGACTGCAACAAATAAAATACAACAGAGCAATAAATCACAAGTAGAGGGGATGTCTAGGGTGGCTGGAAAAATATAAGGCATTTTGTGGCTACTAATGATGCAGTGAAAACTCAAAACAATTCTAAACAATTCAGAAAGACAAAAGGTAACTGGCTTAGTAGTACCTAGCAAGGAAGCTAAAACTGAAAAGAAGTGATGACTGAGTGCATGGATTGTGGCTGGCACACTGTGAGAGGCATTTTTGGACTGCAAAGCCAGAATATGCAGACAGAACTCAGTGACACAGTGCTTGAGTATTTGTACACTGCACAAATCAGCACTGAGCTTTTTACAAACAAAACAGGCAGCTCTCTAGAAAAAAAAAAAAAAAGGAAATAGCAACAAAGTTACTGGTTTCTCAGCATACAAGCTGTAGGGCAAATTATCACCTCCATTCCGTGACTGTCCTCAACAGCACACAGAGTCAGGTTTTCATGCCACCTGGCATAAACGTAGGTTGACCTTTGTTGCACGTTTCAGAACCAAACCAGGATAAGGCATATGCTAAAAGTTTTTCACATGCTTGGTGACAGTAGCAAACAAGGACGCCCAAGTCCACTTCAAATGCAAGGGGACAGCCTTCCTTTATAAGCAGATGCTGCTTTTCATTCATCTCAGTTTGAAATTCTTATGTCCTAACACCACAATATAACAACCATAAATATACACAACATGTATGTACAAGCATATGTATCTACACATCACTTCTTACCCACACAACTCCTTGGACAGTCATGCCTATCTACTCTTCTAGCTTGTCTTCCCAGATGAACCACTCAGCCTCACTTTCCTTGTGATATCTCCTGGTCTACTTTTTATCCAGCTTCTTTTCTCAGGCAGTCCTATCTCTTGTGCCAAGCCCACAGTCTCTCTTCTTCTCCGTCTGCCTGCCCCACTTCACTGTTCCCCTACAGACATCCATTCATCCATCCTCCTGCATTTCCCCCACATTCTCTCAGCCTCTCAGTTGTTCCCAAATCTTTATTTCTCAGTTTTGTCCTCAGAGAGGTAAAGTGCACCTGTACCTTTGTATAGCTGTACTGCAGAAGAGCAAACTTTTGGTCAGGAGACAATATAACTGTGGTTGCCTTGTATTTATCCTGTCAACAAAGGGCAAAAGGAACGCATTAAGCACTGATTTCAAAGAAATGCACAGAACAAAACATTAAATTTAGTATCTTTCCCAACATCTGCATATATAAGTCAACGTACTAATGTTGTATTCGCCAAGATTACTGAGGATGTTCCTGTGTCAGCATTGATACGTAGAATGTTCCCATCAGCTGTTTTGTGAAGATACTGATTTCCTAGAAGAACAAGAGAGCTGCTAGTAAACAATAAGTAAATTCCTCATCAGTTACTTCTCTTTTCCCCTTATTTTTTTAAGTAGTAAATAAAATTCAAAAATCTGGTCAATGTTGCATTTCCCACTTCTGTAACAAAATGACGCTTATTGAACAAGAACGTGTACAAAAACTAGTCCTGGGGCTCACAGCCTCTGCCTTCTGGCATCTCTTTCCCTTGGGACACCACGCATATTCAAAAGGAAAAGGGGCCTGTATCCTCCTATTCCCCAATATCCTCATGCACAGGAAGCTGACACACTTTGTAGGATAACATGCTTCTACAAAAAAGCGTAGAAGCAAGTATGCTCTTTCAGCAGTAGGAGAATATAGCTTGCCATGAATGTGAACATGTATTGAAAGGAGGAAAAAAATAAAATAAAAAAAACTACAACTCTGAGCTACACACCTTTCTATAACGGCACCATTAAATAATTTAACTTTTTTTTTTTCAGGATACAGTAGTCACCTCAGCTTACTGAAGTTAATAAATTTTCTTGACATTCATGCTGTATGTAGATATCAATTACCTGAAATCCACTGCAAATTATGTGTTCTGTACTTGTAGTCATTGTTCAAGTAATTCTGTAGAGTGTATGTTTTTCGTGAATCAGGCTCAGAGGTACTTTCTGAAAGAAATAGACAGAAGAGAGATTTTGACATTACTGCAAATTGTTCCACCACAGCTTCTTAGCCCGACTACTAAAATAAGTATGGTTTTGTTGCCGGTTTGATGTGTTTTAGCTAACCAGCTCTAAAGTACTAGCAGTGAGAAGGCACTAAAGCTTTAATGCAAGATAAATTCAGTAAGCATAAAATAAAGGAGTATTGCTGAGATCATTCAACAAACTCACGTAAAATTACAGATGCCTTTGCTGCTATTTTACTTTAAGGTACACAAATGCTGTTATCTTTTGAGTAAATGAAAATACCTTTTTGATAGTAACAAAAATAAAGAGACGACTTCTGGCCTTCTTGTTTCAGGAAACATGTACTTGTACTCCTCTAAAATTGAAAAGAAGTGATCTTAGTGCCTTTCCCCCCTACATTCACTCTGGGAATTTTGCTGCAGAGCCCTGACTGCTAATATTTGCATCAGATATCCATTGTGGGGTGGATCATGCAAAGCAGAGACATACATGCTCATATTTGAGAGTGGTGGATAGGCAAGGGTGTCCAGATGAATGAAACGTGGCATCCATATGATAAGATGTACAGACCTTGAAAGATACCTTAAAATTAAAGCTGCTGCTGTACTTTATCAGATGCTCCGTAATACTGCCGCTCCTGTTCGTGAACCATTCAATTGCGAATCATCTGTTTATTGTTAAACCCATATTTCAGAAATATCTCAAATAAAAAAAAATCTGAGCAGTAAAATTTTCATGGAAGGTCCAATTTAAAAACAAACAATTAAATCACAAATGCTTACCGATAAGCTTATGATGAAATAACTGGTTAAGTATTTATCCCTCTCTAGATGTGTTTTACACCAAGATATCTTAATGTGTACTGCAATATTACTAATTTGACTGCAAAATTAAAGCCAAGTAACTGGGTTACTATGAAAAGACTAAGTGAAACTTTGAACCCAGTTAAGCTAACATGTTTGGTTTCACAGAACAGCTTCTATGAAAAAGATTTCTTTCTTAATGGCTGCAGTGCACAAGCTACTGTTTCCAAAGTCTGAAAGGTTCAAATAATATTAATTAAAAAAAAATGGTTTGTGAGTCTTTGTTATATTTTTTCACTGAAAACAAAGACTATTTTTTTTTTTTTTTTTTTTTTTTTTTTAAACAGAAACCTAAAATCTACCCTCATACAGATCTACACAGTCCAGATGGAAGCAATTTTTATTTCAAGTGGATAAGTCATTACTTTTTTGTTACTACCAGAACAAATCAAAAGACCTAGGATAAAAACAATTGATAAAAACACTCAAATACAGATGTGGTGACTGATCAACCAAGATAATAACCTGCCCTATCAATTCTTAGAAATTCAGTCTTTCAGGTACTTTTGAACAGCCAGACTCTTCTTCCATTATGCTGAAGAAGAAAAAGAGCACAAAGTCCTTGGGGACATACACACAGAGAAGCACCTCACAATAATTTTTGCAGGTTATCTTTCTGCAGATTAAATACATGCGACACCTGGAAGAACACCACGGGAAGATATTTATATTAGCTCTTACAGCTTTACTCTTATTTCCAAACAGTAAGCACACTGCATATATATATATATATATATATATCACAGACTGTATAGACACTGATGCAATAAAAGTCAAGAGCCATAACAATGATTTTAGTCTAAGATGCTCAGCAAAGGTTAAAAATATTTCTTGCTCAATTTCATCTGCAATTTGACTGTTTAAAAAATTACTAGTCTAGATTTCTTGCTCATGAAGTTTCCTGCAAGAATATTAATTTCTCAGGTTAATTATTCTATATTAACTGAATATTTAATTTGATGGATTATGAACAAGTGTGCATTTGATATTCAGGGACTGTTGTCTAGTTGGGAATATCACTTCTCTCCTTCCTAATTGAGTAAGTGTCATTTTCAATTAGAGGGGCTTCAGAAAGCAACAAAATTCTCTCTTGGAAAAGGAGGAGCAATTTAAGACAGGTGGCTGATGAACAGGTTTAGGGATTTTTCCAAACTGATGAATGTTTTTCCCCCCTGGTGACATACATATTTTGCTGAGGTCTCATTACTAAAAATCAGGCCACTATTAAGATTTGTTGGCTGTGTATAAAATTAAAATTTCATTTTCTGTCAACACCTTCCACATAGTAACTGAATATGAAAACATACGCCAAGCTGTAAGGGTACAGTCATAAAAGATCTAGTTGAAGTATTTTCTTAATTTAAGACATAGGCCACTACCAGTATATTCTTACTTATCCACATTATGCCACCGACCAAAGATACTCGACATACATTGAATTCTGTATTTTGGTTCTTCTTGTTCAGATTCCAGTTGAAAGAAAGTGTCAAACAGGTTTATTTTGACAAAATAAAGTAGCTGTTGACATTCAAGAGCATTTTATTGGCTTTGAAGATTGGATACAGGTCAATGTATGTTCCTATTTTAGCAAAACAGCTTCTTTCACTCTTAGGTTCCTCAGAGAGGCTGTGAAGGCTGATTTTTCTTCCTATTTTTCATTTTTGACTAACCCAGATACAGACTTATTTTTCTAAATTCCAAATGACTAGCTCTTCATCTCTACCCTATTCTCAACCCCAGCAACACATATATATTTCCACTGTTACAATGATATACTGGAAATATTTACATCATAATACCCTATTACAATAGCAAAAACTTAAGTAAGTCCTTCTGGGAAGAAGGCTCTTAACCTTTTATGCAAGTAGTACTCATAAGAAGTTGATAAACAGTTCTGGTTTAATTTTAGATTTTTTTTTTTTCTAATATGTCACCCTTTCTCTAGAGAAAAATTGAGTTGTTTTCTGTAGGTGTAAGGTGTAAGCAAGAAGTTAACTATTGTGTAAGGTTTATGGTATGACACACCACCATACCAAAATCTAAAGTTGTTGACAAATTACTTTTGGTATACGTATTGCTTATTCCCCAGTGTCAAGACACATTTTACTAATTTCCATATATAATAAAAATGAGCGAAAAATTATGTAACTAATTTAAAAGAGATGGAAAACTATAAAACCAGTAATAATGGAAGCTTTACTGCATGTTCACCACTACCAAGAGAGATTGGAAGAACCACAAGGGAAAGAGAAGTACAAGCATGATGCTCAGCAGTAACAAGAAAGAAAGGGACAGAGAAATGATAAAAATCAGAGAAGGTGAATGAGTATCGCCATTTTTAAGTGACAGCAGAACAAGAATGATAATGATCTGCAATCTAAGAATGTAATTTAGGAGCAGCGTGAGAGATGCAAGAAGGGAAACCTGACTGATTCAGTAGTTAGTCAGAAAAGTAAGTGACATTTCAGGCTATTTTTTCCAAACCTTCCTTCTTCCCTGTTTCTCTTCCAACGTGTGTAAAAAAGCACTCAAAAACCTTCCCCCCTACACTCAAGCCCCCAGTTACTGCCTGGGATATGTGACAATTAGAGCACAGAAATGGATTTCCAGCAAAGAAGAAAGTAAAAATTACTCTACTGGGTCAGGCCAAAGGTTCACTTAACCCAGAACCCCATCTGATACCAGACATCCAGGAGAGACCATAACGAACAGGTAAGCGCCGTGACAGCTCACCCAGGTGCCACTCTCTGGGGCTACAGAGACTTCCCCAGAGAGAGTTAATCATTAACTTTGTAATCAATAGCTCTGGAGTCCCTCTCAAATTTGCCCCATCTCATGCAAAGCAAGGAAATAAAAATAGCAGAAGCAATCAGATACAGATAGCAATCCACTGCTCCAGATAACAATCCACTGTTGGTAATTTTTTTTTATATTGCATTACTCAACATTTGAATTAAGATAGATAACCGAGTTAAATGACAGTTACAGAAGTCAAGGACATATAGCAGAAAAACATTTCCATTCTCTACCTTTTCCTTCACTATCTAGGAAAGTAATATATCCACATGTAACATGAAGACTACAAGGATCTTGTAATGCAGAGCAAGGTGGATAAATATGTGGGGGAAAGAGGATAGCTAGAACAGTCAGATTTAAGCCAAAAGACTGTTTGGTCAGACAAGTCTACAGCACACTCACAACAAGGCAGTTAAACTGCTTTATCTCCCATACAACTTTGGAGTGAATTTCAGCCATGATTTTGATCAAAGTTGTCTGAAGCTCAGCTACTGGAATTAACTACTGCTCATGATTTATATAACAGTTCTCTAAAAAAAACACACACAGAGTCAAGATTCTTATATAAACTTTAATTTTTGAATCTTGATTCAAAGCTATTCTACTTCAAAGATCAATTTCTGATCCATAGATTTAAATTCCCTCACAGATTTTCTAGCTTTCTTCCTAAACACCCTTAAAGCTGATGCCTTTCAGAAACTGAAATAATACAGGACCCCTTATTCCCATGAGAGATCACAGCTGCCAGATTCATTCATTTTCTGGCACAGGTCTTCAAATACAGGGGCTGTGTATCAGCTAGAAACCTCTCTGTATTCTAAACATACTGTTCAGTTGCAAGCAGGGTGTTGACACTGGCAATAGGTACTCCTCCACACCACCTAGTCACAAATTTGCTTGGTTCAGGACAGAATGCAGATAGAATAAACAGGAGAAGACTGTAGATATGACCATCCCCAACAGAACAATTATGAGAGCTATTTGGAGACTTTTATTTCTGTTTCATTTCAGTTATACATTAACAGGGCTGTGAGGAAGATCTGCAACCTCACCTCTCTTGAGTCCTTGAAGCACGAAGCTGTGTCGCAAGTCCCAACATTCTTCAACTTCAAATCCAGGATGACAACACGAACTTACTGGACTTCTGCTGCTAGTAACCCTTATCTCTACTTATGGTAGCTTTCTACCAGCCACTAGCAATACCCAACATATCAGTTAGGCATCAGACTCACAAAGTACCATCAGGCATTTTAAGGTCATTAACTTCCCCAGCACCTGCTATGCTTTTGCCAACCTCTTCTAGGTACACTTCTATCAAAAGACCACAGAAGACCACAAATTGTATCATCCAACCATGGCAGGGATAAGCCTTCTCATTTCATTAATATCTTGCCCTTGGAGAATTAGGCCTCTGGGTGAAGGAACCTGTTTTTTGACCAGACACTGGTATAGGACCCCCCACTCTAAGGCTGTTTATGACTTGCTCGTAACAGCAGAATGATAATAGATACTGCAACGTCTCCTTCCTGCTCTCAGCATTGGCTACTCTTCCTCTCATTCCTGGACCTCCTGCCCAGCTGGCTGTAACAAGAACTGCTGTTAGAGAAGAGGTAAAGTGTATGGCAACTGGATGTTTCAATCTGTCTTTTGCATGGAAAGTTGCAGGAGAAAAAAAATGGGAGAAGCATAAGTAAATGGTAAATGAATTATGGACAGACCACAACTTTTAGAAAATACTCATGCTTTAAGGGCAACCACTTGGCTCCTGTAGTCACCTCTTGAATAGCTCCTCAAAGCATAATAATGCTTTCATCAACAGACTTAAAATACAACCTCCAAGGTTGTTTTAAGATTAAACTGTTTGATAGCTCCATGTTGTTATTAAAATAAAGTGGCAAAATAGGCAGTGTGTATAAACAAAAACTATAGAATTTTGTATACGGTTCTGGCTGAAGACCCTTAAGATAAATAGTGAAGGGCTGCACCCAAAATTAGGGAACCCTTTTGAAAATTTAAGTCTGCAGTATTTGCTTATGCTAAATGGCTGCAAGAGAAGTAGCAAAAATTTCACTTGCCAGGTCTACTGCCTATCCACAGCCAACAAGCCAGAACCCCTCTGGAGTGGCAAAATTTCAAAACCTTCTACTGCACTGGAACCCATTTATCAAACTAATTCTGTGCTGTATGACTACTAAGCTTATGAAATGAAAACACACTGAAAAGCACAGTGTCGAAAAGAGCAGCAGGCCAAAGGTAAGAAATCCAAACTAAAAATTATCTGTGTATATCAATAATCTTCATTTTCACTCCCTGCCCAATGCTTGAACCATTGGGATGAAATGAAGGCTTGACTGCAATTACAATTACTTTTATCAGATCAGACTTTGATTTCACGTAGTCAGTCATGTGAGCATCTGCTGCTCCTCCCCACCACCCCTCAGTTTTGCCACCTCTCATTTTGTACTCAGGCCAGCATCTGTACTGCCCCAGGAGGCCCCCTCAGCTGACTTGCATGCCATGAGGTCATTCGTAAAAGCTGTATAATCAAACTGTCAGTGATTAAGTGCTCTGGCCTATAAAGCAGTAATTACAATTGCACCACCTGTACACTCTCAGCTAACAGAAAACATTTCTTTAGCACCCTTCAGTCAAAAATTCAAAAGCATCCTGCAGTTCCTGAACTATAATGGTCACAGTTGTTTTCCAGACATTACTGCTGGCCTGATTTGGGAAGAGATGGGAATTCAAGTTTTTGAACTGGGACCCCTCTAGATAAAATAAGGATTGAGATGGAGACACCTAGTGAACTACTTGGGTGTGCTAGGTATTTTCCCAGGCATTAATTTGAGCCAACAGTAAAAAGACTGACACATTGCCCTACTCTTTTATAACCAAAATGACGCAAGTCAAGGCTGACAGCATGGTGATATTCTGTATGTCATCCAACAGAAGTGTTTCTTTAAAGTAAAATCTATTTACTATATAGCTCAATGACTGGTACTGAATTGCAGCCACTTCTACAGCAAAAGGATTCCTATGCTAGTTTATGAAAGAAGAAAACCCATTTGATTTTCAGTAAAACAGCACTAGCATTAAGGTAGACAAACACCAACTCTAGCAGTTTAGGCCTGCATACAGAATTGTTTCACTAGGTGTTATGCCTGCACACATGTATCTTGTAAGCCATCAAGACCCTTTCTCTTGTTCTTCCAACTTCTGAAACTAAGAGTATTTTCTGTCACCTCAAAAATCTGCTTTTTTGAGGTAAGTGGCAAAAAGCTCCCCAAAAATAATAGAGAGTCAGCATCCATGTATGCAAGTTTTAGCCCAGAAGGTATGTAATTCAGATATCCGGACTTTGAAAATCTAGTTTTCAATGTTTCTGATATTAGTAATGACAAGGCTGAATTGCAGAGAAATTTAAGCATAAATTATGCCATATGAACACTAGTGACACAACCTTTGCCTCTGACATAGAAAAAACCCACCGTAACTTTCTGTGCACATAAGCAATTGCTGTGTTTATTTATGAACACGCTGTCAAGATCAACATACACATCTTCATGCTCCTTGGGGTGCATCTCTAACAGAAGACCACCAAAGGTCTAGCCTAGAAAACACTTTGTTTCCTTAGAGTTTGCAGTGCTGAATTCTACATATCACAACTGCTCAGCTGTCAGTCCTAAGAACACAAAAAGGGAGATTAACCTGAAACTCTGTCCTACCAGCAGGAAGCAATGCACTGCTTGAAGAGGGTTTAATGCTGTTTCACATTAACACTCAGAACTACAAGGGCAACCTGGAAAATACAAACTGATCAGAGTCCAAACATGCATACCAAATCTTTTTGCTACTTTTCAGAGCTCTGTCACTGTGCTGCGTCTATAATTTCACTCAATAACGTTAACAAAAGTTGTGCTGAGAAAACAAATTAAAGGGAATATAATCTTGTCTCTTCAAACACCCTAGAAAATTGACTAACTGGCATTTTACTCCTGGTTCTACAGCCTTCTGCTGCAATTGGAAAGGAAAATGCTGAAAACGATAGCGCTTGTAATTCGTATTTTCTCAGCTCACAGGGGGATCGAGGGACTTTTCAACTCCCACCTCTCCCCGCACCCCCCATCCTCAGGTGAGACACCTTTTTGACAAAATACCTCCCAGTTTCCCCAGAGCTCCAGCTCTACCAACCCTGTTCCCTAAAGCACAAACTTTGTTAC